ATTGTGACCTTCCCTGCTGGCTTCCCCAGAAAGTCAATAGGGAAGCTGGCAGGGAAGGTTGCAAGTTGCTGGGGTAAGTCTTCCCACCCACGCACCACCCCCAGCCCCTCTATGCTAATGCCGCACTGGCCAATCATGCACCCCTGTGGACCCTCCCTGACCCTGGCCGAGCCTCCCTCACACCCTCCCTCACACCCTCCCCCCTTTGCATTCCCTCCCCGATTCTTGCGACACCTTCTGCACACTCTCATGCATCCTCCCCAACCCTCGCTGTGCCTCCTGCATACCCTCATGCACCCCATGCACACTTGTGCACCCCCACGCCCTCCCCCACCCAGCAGCAGCCACTTACCTGCTGGCCTACTTGCAAGCTGTCTATGATTTGCAACTTCCTTCCTGACTTAATTGTGGGAAGCTGGCAGGAAGTTGCCTTGCCTAATGACTGTGGGATTCAGTTAACAATGGCAACCGGGACTCCAGGGATTGCCATCGCTAAGTGATGTGGTTGCGCTTTATGACTGCATTGCTTAGCGGTAGAATTTCTGGTCCCAATTGCCATTGTAAGTCAAGGACTACCTGCACTGAGAAGGCTGTTTTTATGCTCTTGATTAGTCCCAGTGAGAGCTGGTACAGAATCAGGGGGTGATATGTAAGTTGAGGCATTAATGTTGTGGCGGGGGGCAGATGAAACTGAGATACCACAGAGTGTGGAAGCAGAAGTGGACCAATGATCCTGACAAGCTAGCTGGTCAAGGAGCAGGTGATTAATACCAGGGTTGGTTAGGATCCTAGGACTTGGGGGAGAGATGGCAGAGTTCAGGGGGGTTCAAAAGGAAAGAAAAGGGCAAGCAGTAATGTCCTGTGGTGATGGGTAGAGGGAGAGATGGAGGGAGACAGATGGGCATACTCATGTCTAGGTTTCATTTTCCAGCCCCCTGGGCTCAACCCAAGTGCCTAGTGATCAGATCCTCAGTGGCCCTAGGCTCAGGTTGCTGCTGCTTAATGCCAGGCCAGCTTGTAATAAGTGCTACTTATCTAGGACCTTGTTATGAACGAGAGAGCTGACTTAGTTGTATTACCAAGACCTAGATGGGCATGAGAAGGGTAGTCCCCTCTCAGAATGGTGCCCACCTAGGTTTTGAGTGTGGCATTGGCTGCAACTCCAGGGCAGGGAGTGGCTCTTTGTCATCTGGGAGACACTTGTGGCTGTCATAGGTGCTGCTCCACAGGTA